CTCTATTTTGGTTTAAGTATATTTACTTCACAACAGCTATTATTACAGGTTAACCGAATTTGACAGTTTATATCATGAAATAAACAACGTTGCTTTTGAAATTCATTTCGTGAACAACTAATTAAATAGATTTTTTTCGTTTTTATCGTGTTTTCAAAAGCGTCTCCATTTTATTCTGTAGATTTCTATAGGCCCCAACATTCACATACCATTTAGATGGACTGTGGGCTCGTTTAACCAATCAATGCCGATGAGGGTACACTGCATAGTACTGTCGTATGCGTTTGCACGTACAAAAAGGGGGAGCGCCGAGGGTATAATTTTAACGATCGCACACCCTCGTAAACCTCGTAACTTGGGAAGTCCACAGAATGACGTCACAGTAAAATAAGAATCGATTTTATTGAAATCGTATAGCATAAACCATGAAATAATAAAACGTTTATTTCTCTAGTTTCAGTTTGAACAAGTTAAAATTCCTAATCATTAACAAAAAGTAGACTATGTCCAGGGAGATATTTACCTATCACAGATATTAAAGTAGGTTTCGATAAAACTTATGAAGGAAACAGAAACAAATGTAGTTTCGGGATTTGTAAAAAAATAACACCATAATTGGAAGATATACTAATAAAAATACTAGGTGCCATTATTCATTTACTGTTGATTATATTTAGTATGCCGCAGTAACAAAGCATAACTTGAAAATTTTGCCGACACATAGCACTCTACACTGGGCATTCACGTTTATGTAGGTTTTATAGTTATTATAAATTAAACCATTAGACGATTGCTCACCTTTTAATGAATGTAATATGCCTTAATATATATAATAGCAAATACACATAAAAACAACTAAAACAAAAAAATATATTGAATATTCTTTCTACATTCACTGTGAAAGTAAAAAATTTCAATTGATTACTTTTCAAGAGTTCTGTTAAAATACAGAAAAACGAACAAAAACAAAAAATATATAATAAAATATACTTACTATACAACTATATACTTTCGAGTATTGAAATGTACGCATCATATTCCACGAAATATGTTTATTTAGGTTTAGGACATTTTTAATATCAAAACAGTCCGACCAATCTCTTTTTTCGACAAAGTAAAAGTACCTACTTTGTTATGTTTCAAAGGTTGATTCATTACGTTGGTTCGGAACGGATATCAATGAATTACAAAAGTAACGAAATGAAATTAGTAATTAGACAAAGTAAAGTCGTTTGCAAATTTTTTGTAATTATTCAATATAAAACTATAAAATATCAAAAAAAAAAAACTTGCATGTCTATTCTATTTTATAATTTCTCTAGTTACTTTTACTCATTTATGTAAATTGGAGAAATTCACATTAACGGGGTGTTGACTGCTATATCTAAAAAATTAGACGTATTAAAATAATATAGTAACCGTTCTTCATTAAATTATTATAAATATAACCAACTGTTTGAAAATTATATACAGCATGAATTAACTAATTTAATGATATAAATGTAACTGATAAAAAAATAGGACACGTTAAGTTCACCAGAGCACTGAATCAGCGCGGCGGATTATTTCCTTGTTTAAATAAACCTCACAAAACTTACAGAAGTAAGCAATTAACCCCCCCCCCCCGTAGTGAAACGTATGGTTTGAAGTTTCTTACTTTAAACGTTATGTTAGACCTGACAAAAGGTGAAGAACCTTTACACGTGTCGAAATATGCCATAAACATATCATCACCATTAAATTTAATTTATTTAAACAAAAAAAACTAAAGAACATAAGAACTTACTTATTTTATTTTTTTGTTCAAACCAGTTAAACCGGAAATACATTACCCGTGTTTAGTGCGGAAAATCAGTTTTAATACATCAACAAAAACACCTAGACCATCAGAATATTCACCTTTCGTGGTGAGCTCAGTAATCTAAACCATCACTTCATTTTCAACACAATTCAACTACAATATAACTCCCACGCCAAAAGAAATACAATAAATACTAGCTTGCCAGGCAGACGTTCTGGCCTTTTCGATTACCCTTTGTCATGTCCTATTAAAAATCCTTAAATTCGCAAAAAAAAAATATGTGGCTCACTCATGGGCAAAAAAAACTATCCTATCTCTCAAGTTGGACCAAACTGCACACGGTATGCAAATTTGATTAAAATCGGTTAAGTAGTTTAGGAGTCCATCGCGGACAAACAACATGAGTAATTTATATATATTAAGAATATATATACATATACAAATAGATAGATATAGAAATATAAGATAGATATAGAATAGATTATACATTTACAAATTTAAGAGATCAAAACCTCTAACTCCCATAATGAAAAGCACTAAGTCTAAAGTTTATTTTTAATTTTAATCACGATTCGTGTTATGTTGTATGTATGGTTTTTTTATAGGATAGAGTGACAAACGAGCACACAGTCCACATGATGGTGTAATTGAAGTGTGTGTGAAGTGGTTGCTGTAGCCCATAGACATTTACACCTATCCTCGATTACGAATCAAAACGCAGATGCGTTGTCACTCGTGAGGACTAAGATGGAATGCCTCGTTTCCAGTAAAAAGGGGCTCCGATTCTCTACACTCACCACACGAAACACAGCAGCATTAAGCTACTATTTGACGCTGGTATTCTGTGAGAGCATACAAGTGTTCATTATAATTACTTTATTTTTGTATCAATAGACTATTGGAGCTGTGGTAATTCAAGGGCTAAGCGCTCGCTGTAAATGTCACAGTACATGAGCCACCCGGCAATTTTACGCGAGGAAACCTGCATAGAGATTAAAAAAACATTTCGAAGAAATGTGAAGTTCCACCAACACGCATTAAGGCAGCGAGGTGGAATGCCCTTCCTTACCTAAAACCCTCTCGGAAATTAGATGGGGCTTATTTATCGACACAAACGTATCTACTCGTACTGCTGCGGTATCCTATAAATGAGACAACTTATTTTTAATAATAGAGTAGAAATGCTGTAAGTACTATAATGTATAATAAATGAATGTCTTGATGGTTAGCCATAATAAATAAAAATAAAAAGCAAATACAAACCAATAAACAAAACAACGGAGCATAACTACAAATGATGCTCCAAGATTCGTAACTGGGTACCGGAAATCCACGTTACCCCGGACCTCGATCACGGCGACGCATTCCAACACATTCAGAGATTTATACTCAGATTTGTATGTTTAACACGCTTGCTTAGTACATTGCCGGCTTTACTGGATTTATAAGTATTGAGGATATATATTTATTTACCTTTGCAAGAGGTTAAAGCAATTTATCTCGTATTTTTTCACTATAAATATAGCCTTCAGCATAATGAAGACTTTTTGAAAAGGAACAAACCATAGAAACATAAAATATCTATGGAACACACTATCGAAACATAACAGTCCACAATTATATGAATATCGTCAGATATTAGAGATAATGCGTTATGACAGTATTGTTTCGAACTTTTCTTTCTTTAGCTAAATGTGTCTTAATTAAGATCTCAGATAAAAGGCTCAAACTTTATTTCAAAAATTTTCAGAAGCTATGTTTTGTTCTGTGAGACTAGTTATCAATCATTACTGAGATTTAGCGTGGCTTTCAACGATAGAAAAACCTAGAAACTAAAAGCTACCATACAATACAAAAAGTAAAAATGATGGATTGCTTTCGCAGTATGAAAAAAAAACTACTCAACCATTACTGATAGCTACGACGTCAGATAATCTTTGAAATAGATATTGCAACTGTTGAGCGCAATTGTAAACAAAAATAATACATAGTTTCAATTCAGGTCGTTTAAGATCGGATTTCACTTTGCACTTCTAAGCAAGAATATATTTTCAGAAAAAAAATACATTTAACAAAAAGTAAAAGCAGACTTAAAAAAAAATTATAGGATAAGGGTGACAAGCGACAGACCTGATGGTAAATGGCTGCTGTGGCCCGTAGACATCTACATCTATCATTTGCTAATCAAAATGCAGATGCGTTGTCAACCGTGAGGACTAACATGGAATGCCTCTTTTTCTGTAAAAAGGATCTCCGGTTCTTGACACTCACCATACGAAACACAGCAGCATTGAGATGGTATTATGTGAGACCGTTGTCCTACCTCGGTCGAGCCGACCCATTCGTGCTACAACTATAATATAATTGCAACGTGGCTCTACCACGCAAAGAATAGAGTACTCTTAGAGTATAAAATAAGTAGCTTGCTAATAAATACTCTAAGAGTATATTCGTAGAAGAATTAAAAGTCAGATTTTTTTTATTGTAAGTGGTTGCTGTGACCCATAGACATCTACATCTATCCTCGATTGCGAATCAAAATGCAGATGCAGTAAAAAGGGTCTCCGGTTCTCTACACTCACCATACGAAACACAGCAGCATTAAGCTGCTATTTAACGCTGGTATTCTGTGAGAGCGTGGTCTTTCCCCGGTCGAGCCGACCAATTCGTGCTACAACTATACAATTAAATATAGCTGCAGAAACATCATGGCTCTACCAGGTTCAAAACCTACTGAATTTGAAATTTATTTCTTATTTTTATTTCTTTGAGGTTAGCATTTACTTTCTGTGAACATAATTATTTCTTTACTATTTTAAGTGGACAAAGGAATATTACAATCTCAATGTTTATAGAAGAGTTACATTAAAAACTTTATATTTTCTTTCAAATTTAGATGGGACCATCTCTGGGAAAAACATATTTATTAGCTAATTACAAAATAAATAGTAAGATTAGACACATATGTAGAGAGGCGCTCTTAGGGTAGTAGGCACCACATTACAAGATCATGTAAAGCGCTGAAGTGATCGCCACCTTGACTAAGTTGTAAAAATATAATATATTCTTAGTCTTGACGAAATTTGTTTAAAAATAAATAAATCTTCGGCTACATCAACATTTACCATCAGGTGGGATAGTACTGGCTTTAAATAGTAAAAGTATATTCCGAACCAAAGTAAGATAAGATAAGACTAACCTGTATTTGTGGTGCTAATCTAGGCGCCCCGCAGGAGCACTGGTCCCCACAGAGGCAGCCGTTATCGAAAGCCCTTCCCGACGCCAAGTCACCTAAATGCCTTCCAGATGGCGTTGCAATCCTCAAGGCAGACGCGTCAGACTGCGATCTGTGGTGACCTCTCCTCGCCGCTGGTCTTATCTCTTCAGCAAGAATCGAATCTCTTAACTTAATCGCTTTAGATCTCCTTGACTCACCTCCAAAGGCCGTCAACAACCACACGAGGCGTAAAGAAAACTCAGCGCTCTGTTTGCACCTATAAACTAGATACGGCCGAAGAAGGTCTGCGACGTCACCCATCTCTATATACATCGTCGCAAGTTGTGGCAGATAGAAGTCCACGTCCTCGTGTGGGAACGAGAACAGTTTGTTGGCCAGGTAGGTCTGCACGCCCGATTCTTTAGAGGTAAAAAGATATGAGATTGCCATACTCATATCAAACAGGTTGCTCTCGAAGAGTCTTAGTAAGAAGTCTTTATGTTTGGAAGATTCGGCGGACGATTCATCGGTTGTGATGGGCGGTCCTATCGTATCGGGCGGATCAGGTGGCTTTTCCGTCTCCTCTGGATTGCCTGAGTCAAGACTTTCCCGCGATCGGGCGGCAGCCCGAGGTTGGGGTCTCTCTTCGTCATTGAAATCGGGTGGAGTGTGAATGCCCGAGTCATCGGAACCTGCTGGGACTTCTGGTGGCAAGGCGAGTCTTGGCGCGGACGGTTCAACAGGCGTACGAAGCGGCGCACCATCGGGCGAGGTCGGCGTCATATCCTCCGGTATCCTCTGGAGAACAGAGTCCAGGGAACGGTTCCTCTGGTGGCCGCATCCCGCCGGGGGCCCGCTCGAGCCCGTCACATGTCTGTGAACAAAGAACACAGATCTTAAGGAAAACTTTCTTTGGAAAAAAACATTGCAGACGATCGCACGTTTTGTATAATAGTTAATCGTATATAAACCACTCACTTAGCGCATTTGTAAAAAGGGTCCTCATAATAACGTAAACCAACGACTACAATTTTCCGAACCATTTGCTCTTATGCAAGGTAATGCGGAGTACGATCACGGACTCAAACACACAAAACAAGTAATCCAATTAACGTTTCTCACACGATCATGGCTATAGCACTCGACACTGGTTGCGCGGCGTACTGACGAGCGATGTATCCACCGAGTTAACGAGCGCACGTCCTACCTCGAAGCAAACGCGCAGCGAACTGCTAACTGCTAAGCTAAGTGCTAACTGCTTACGTCTTTACGCAAGGAAACAGACACAGCGCCCCGCATACCATTCTAAATTCTAATGAGGATCACCTCGATTACGCAGCTGAACCGCAACCAAAACAACTAACGATACGATACGCGTGAACAAAAAAGATTTTTTTTGCGGCAGACTTCACGGGGCCGCTACTCTAGTATGTATACATAATGTGCATTACTAAATATATACATGCAAAAATACAATCACCTACATAATATTGTGGTACACTACATAGTGTATGCAGAGGTAATTGTGCTTACAGACGCAAAATTAAGCAAATGAACGCACATAAGGTTTACGAGAACAAATTATAATGGATTTCACGAAAGTGACATTTGCTACTTTATTGCATATGGAACGGAATTTCTATCCTAAAGACTTCACAAAAGGCTAACACCGATGCCAAACTCGTATACAGCGAATGAATTACAAACCATTTCCTTATACGACAGAGCGGCGTATTAGATTATTGCTTCTAGCATACTAACACAGACAGTTACTTTTGTAAATCTAGCGTAGACTACAATATGCAATATTTGTATGCGTCGCGTCCATCTCACAGCTGTGAGTGGAGCGAACTTTGTGACATAAGATTTACTAAAGCATATAAAAAGCGCGACAGAGAAAGCGGACGATAACCTCGTATAAATTGGAGTGCTCAATCAATTTCGAGATACGCGTAATACAACGTCCAACGCGTTCACAATGCGGTCTAGATTCCATTGACTAAAAGGAAGTGAAGGAAGCGGTTGTATGCTTAAGTATTCGTGAACATTCCACGGGAGGCGTGAGTGTTGAATGAATTGGCGTCGTTTATATTTAGAACGTTATCGGGAGTGGAGCACGTGTTGCCGCTACGCAGATGTACCGACAATGAGCTAACGGCATTTGGGCAGTGGGAGAGCACCAATTTAGTTCTATTAATGGCATCTCACTATCTTGAATACGCTGTGTCCTTAATTTTAAAAAAAAGTGAAACTGTCGTACAATTTAAATATTTTGTATTTATATGTAAGACTAGCTGTTCCACGCGACCTTATTCTCGTGTTATTTATTACGATTGGATTTCATGTATTTAAATTTTTTGCGGAACCCTAATTCTTATTCTTAAATAAAAGTAACTTAAGTCACTCCTTATAACATCAACTATCCGCCAGTGAATGTGCCGTCAAAATCGGTCCAGCCATTTCGGAGATTATCCGGAACAAACAGACGGATAGACAGACAAAAAAAATTTATTGATTTTTTTGCTTATATTAACTACTGTATATTATACTATATACTTTCAAATGCATTCAGTACAAACAGTTGCTGTTGCTTTTACAAACAGACAATTCCATTTTATTTATTTCTATAAATGTATACAAATAAATAAAATTGCACCTATAAACTAACTTCAGATATACCTTATTTTTATAGAACCTAGCGTAAGGAATGAAAAAACACTCCAACTCATACCAAGTTAATGCTGCGGCACCTACATCTATCATCCTCAGTTAACAATAGAAATGCAGATGCGTTGCCACCCTGAGGACTGAGTGACTCGTTACCAATAAGTATAGTCTCCGTATCACGTCACTCACCAATTCTATCAATTGCTGTAATTCGCTGCAGCGTTAATCTACCACGTTCAAATTCTATCGTTTAGATGCTTGCGTTTTAAAAGATCATATATATAAATATAAATTTCAATGCACCTTACAAAATATTCACTAAATACATCTTTTTATGAACAAAACTATGAATAAATCACGTTGCGAAAGAACCAACTTCAAAGAAAGTATACAATATTTTATACTTTATTCTATTAAAATCCAATATTTTCCAAAAAAACAACCTAACTCAAAAAATTGCGTCACTAAAACACAAAATGAATCTATAATCGTTTATTTTACCACGACACGAAACGATGTTACGCAAAAGGTTTATGACAAGAATGCAAATTCAATTCTTGAGCAAACTCAACCAAAGATTAAAAATTATAACCTACCAACCAACATTTTAAATTAGCTAGTTCTCCATTTTATTGATCGTATTATCAGATAATATAAGCGGTGAAGGAAAACATCGTGAAACCTGCATGTCTGAGAAATAAGAAAAAAAAAATATTTCGAATACATGTGAAAGTTCGCCAACACACATTAGAGCAGCGCGGCGGACTATTACTTGCCCGAAAACCCTATCAGAAATGAAAGGAGGCCTGTGCCCAGCAGTGGGACGTATATAGGCTGTAACTTTACTTTTATAAGCTGTGGAGATTTTATAATCGATTTCTGACAGTAAAGGTTCGTTATTCCATAAAACAAAACAAAAACTTCGGTTTTCTTTGCCATCATTCTTTTAGCAGTAACATTAGCACTAAAACATCATATTAATGGTTCTTAAATTTATTAAAAAAATATGTTAAAAAAACATTCTCTGAGAACCGCCATCGCTGATTTGATTGAGAAACATTCATTATGCACAATTAAATTAGCTGCTTCCTAAAGAAAAATTTTACAATTAACATAGTAATTTCTTACAAAGTAGAATCGTATCCATATCTCGTTTTAAAGAAGACAGCATTTGACAATCGAAGCCTAACAACAATAAACTATCGAAATTAAAATTATATTTGTGTTAATTATAAATACTTTATTAGTTGTTCATTGCCGTTTAAAGCTTAAAACATTTAAACTGACAACAAAGAGCAACGACCAATGAAAATGTACATCGTCCAGAAAAATAATTTTTTTATGTCTCTTCTTAAAATACATTTAGAGGCGGATCTTTTCCACATGTGATTGCATAATACAGATATAAAATCGAAGTGAATTCATTTTAAGGTGAAAAATCGATAACATCAATAATAGATTGCCTGAATAACCAATACCAATATAGAATTTTTAATCAGTGATTGCGACAGTAGAACGCTCCAAATTTCACCATTTTTTATTTTTTAAATTTAACATAGTAATTTGAAATTCAATATATGATCAGTTTATATACGGTGTATTAACGGGTTCAAAATGTTTCCGTTCAATATTGCAACGAAAGAAATGCTCACCGATTTTATCATATTATAACATGACTTTTTATGAATAAATAAGCCAAAAACAATACAGGATTTTTGCATAGAGCAGGAAAAGGAAATTTTTAATGCCAACAAAATTCGAATCGTTGTTTGCCAAGGTAATCTTACCTCATAATGACAAAAAGGAGCATATCAATAAATAGCTTGTTTCTTTTATCGTTTAATGATAAAACCTGCTGAAATAAACAAATACATATCATACATCACATACGTACATACATAATATTTCCATTATATACAATAATAGTCCGACTAGGTAAGTCCAACTTCGACCGAGAGGTCAATCGACGGATTCAACTCGGCTGGGCAGCGTTCGGGAAATTACGGCATATCTTTTTTGTCAGGTATACCTCAATCTCTAAAAAACTAGATTGTACAACCAGTGCGTGTTGCCAGTGATGACTTACGGATCTGAGACGTGATCCTTCACTGCTGGCCGTATGAGGACGCTTAAGGTCGCTCAGCGAGCTATGGAGAGGGCTATGCTCGGAGTTTCTCTGCGTGATAGACTCAGAAATGAGGATATCCGCAGTAAAACCAGAGTGACCGACATAGCCCAACGGATTAGTAAGCTGAAGTGGCAATGGGCCGGCCATATAGCTCGAAGAACCGATAACCGATGGGGAAGAAAGGTTCTCGAGTGGCAGCCTCGTACCGGTAGGCGTAGTGTAGGGCGACCCCCCACTAGATGGAGTGACGACCTGGTAAGACATGCAGGAAGTCGATGGATGCAGGTGGCTCAGGACCGTGCTTTGTGGCATTGCTTGGGGGAGGCCTATGTTCAGCAGTGGACTTGTGAAGGGCTGTAATGATGATGATGATGATGATACAGTTATAGTAGTGAAGTTAGTATTTTCAACATAGACGCAAATATCAAAAAGTATAAATAAACACTACGTTTTAATGTCATCCAGACCTACGGTTGTCAACGTCCGGATAAAGCCGGACACAGTTAGGCTTTTTCGTTGCGTGTCCGGTCAAATTAGACGGTGTCTGGTTTTTGTTAGGTTTTTTAAATTATACCATTTCTTTACATTTTTTATTTTTTCATACATATTATTGCAATTATCGAAATTACTATTGTAATGAATATTGAATAATTAATAATAAAGAAGACTAATTTATTCAATTGTTGTTATTTCGTTAGAACTTAAGATTTTACGATAAATGATAACATTGTTTTACTTTAAAAGATATGTCTTTCACTAAGACAAAAAATAAAGGTGTCCGGCCTTTTTACTAAAATGTCCGGCTTAGCTCGCTAGTCTGTCCGGCTTTTCGGCTTTAAGACTTGGCAATCCTATCCCGACCGAATTTCGATCACGGTGGCCAGTCTCAACGGAGATTAACTACTTGCGCAGGACAGGATTATAGTGCCCAAGTATATGCACAAGCACAGGTGCACTCTCTATTCTCTCACTTTAATAGTCTAATAGCCGATTGGACGGTAGTACTTATTATACAGTGGTAATACGACACGACCGGAGAGAGATTAGGCGCTTTACGTGCTTTCCAAGGCACGGGGGGT